GGTTCTACTTTCCTTAAATGCTGTTATCTTTTTTTCCAGCCACCCTGTCCTCTTAGCAGGTGCCAGGCCAGCTGGCTGTGTGAAAATAAGCCTGGTGTTCTGAGGCAGGAGAGCCAAGAGTGGCCCAGTCCAGCTATATTTTTGAGAGAATCGGTGTTGAGCTTGGGCTCTTCTGAATGTATTTAAACCAGAAGCTCTGCTTTCTGCTGTGTCATTTTGGCATGCCGAGGACAGGCTCGACCCACTGTAGGATGATAGTTTTTGAGGGAAAGGCCACCCTCTGTGGAGAGGTCACTGGTATGTCATGGAGGGAGCTGGAGGACGGGACCGGGAGCCCAGCAGGGAGAGCCAGGTGGCAAAGCCCCTGCCTGGCGTTGGCTGTGGGAGGGAGGAGATGAGGTCAAGTCTGGTCCTGTGGTGGGGCCAGAATACATCGAATACATTGGATGAAAAATGGTGGTGGGACAGCCAAATGGGGGTGGAGAGGTGGAGAGAACCTGCTGGAACTAGCTTGCCTGCAAGGAGCCTTGGGGGAGGGAGAAGGAACTGCAGATTTGGATCTGCTTATGCAACTGCAGCTGCCACTTTGAGTTATTCTATTATGTAGGTCAAAGCTGATTATTCACTGCTGAGTCAGCAGAATATCCCTAGCCACCAGGCAGTAAAAAAAGAAAATATTTTACATTTTAATTAAATGAAAAGCTTTCTCCCTTCTCCAGAACAAGCATATTAGTGGGAGGAGGGACTTAGGAAAGAGGGGAATAGGAGGTGTTGAAACTTGGTTTTGGTGCCTTCTTCTGTGATGTGCTTGGAGTGTTTCTCTTTTCTTTCTTTCCCTTTTTACTACTTTGTAAATAAATGACTATATTCTCTAGGTAAGAGAGTCAAGTAATATATAAAGTGAGCCGACTGTGAAAGCTTCCCCTTATCTTCACCCCTCTCCCCTGCCCAGTAGCCGTGCTAACAGTGGATAGGTATCCTTCCAGTTCTAAATAAAGTGCATCCCTCCATGTGTGTGTCTGGGCAGATAGACATCATATGGATAGGTTATTTCTGCAGCTTACTGTTTTATCATTTAGCTGTATCTTTTGGCTACTTCCTGAGTTTCTAGTTATAAACAAAGTGGTCCCAGTGACACTGAAGGAGCGTCAGGTGTTCTGGGGTCCCCCATTTGTGCTTCTTGCTCCCTTACTCTAGGTTTTCCTTCAGGATCTTTTTGTCTCCCTGTCCTTGGGACTGGGTCACCTTTCACTCAGGCAGCTCCTGGCCTCCTTCCTCTCTTTGGGGTCTGGGGTCATGTCCAGGATCTGAAGTAGAATATTTTTCTTCTCGTTCAAGTATCCTCTTTTCCCTGAATGCCTGTACTAAAGAAGCTCCTTCTCCTTTCTCTCCCTGAGGGGACAAGAGTGCCCTACATGCATTTCACAAGTAAAAAAAATGCTTCTTATCTTGTTTTCTGTCTTTCTACTGAGATTCCTAAGAGGCTGTTTTTTTAGGGCTTCAGATTTCTCCTCCTCCTTTTTCTTCTTTTTCTCCTTCTTCTTTTTCTCCTCTTCCTTCTTTTTCTTCTTCTCCTTTGAGCAGTTTAGAAGGGAAAGGACTTTCCTGTATATGTATAACTTTTAACCCTGAGTTGCTCTGCAATTCCTCTATGGAAAGTTCCCAGGTCCTTGATGCAGGATGCTATGATCGATAAACTGTGTGTTGTTTTGCAAGTCTCTTACAAATTAATCCCTTGACATCAGAGGCTTCTAGTCTTTCCTAACTTCTAAGTCCCTTAATCTCGGTTCATTTTCCTTTGAGGTTTCACATTCTGTAGCCCCAAATTTATCACCATGCACTAAACCTGTTGCCTCAGAAGCCTAAGCAGCAGTGCCTTCTTGCCCTCCTTAGCCCCCAGAGTTCTTGGGGTGTCTCATAGTCCTCATATATATGAATCCAGACAAACACAGATGACCTATATTTGATTCCCATACATCCAAGTCATATTCCTTCTCTGTACATCTTCTAGCTAGCCAGCATTTAAAATCTAAATACAGTTGACCCTTGAACAATGCAGTGGTTAGGGACACTGACTCCCTGCACAATTGAAAATTCACGTGTAACTTTTGACTTCCCCAGAACTTAACTACTCTTAGCCTACCATTGACTGGAAGCCTTACCAATAACATAAACAGCCAATTGATACATATTTTATATGTTGTATGTATTATATATACCGTATTCTTACAATGAAGTAAGCTAAAAATATTATTAAAAATATTATTAAATATTTAATATAAAATATTAAAAATCATAAGGAAGAGAAAATACATTTACAGTACTGTACTGTAGAAAATCCACATATAAGTAGACCTGGTCAGTTCAAACCCATATGTTGTTCAAGGGTCAACTGCATATTGAAAAATCTCTTAATTTTTTACTGAATGGTCAATTTGACTAAAACCCCATTTTTCATTTTTATTATTCATAAAGACTAAAGTTATTTTGTAAGTGGCTTCCCAGGGAAAAAAGAAAGAAACTGCAAATCTATCAGTTAATCACCAGATTGAGCTCCTACACTGAGAGGCGATAAGGCATTATTTATACAGAGTCTGGGAAGAGATTAAGGGCTAATGAAGAGATTGGTGTGCAAACAAATAATTATAATACAATGTGATGACAGAAGTGTTTGCAACACAGAGCAAGGTGCTTCAAAGTTGGGAGAGGAATGCTAGGGAAGGCTCCCAGGTTGAGCTAAATCTTGCAAGGTAAATAGGTAGCTCCCGATAGAAATAGAACAGCTGGGTAGAGGCAAGGGCACAAGCAAGACCTGGCATCAAGGGAGAAATGGCCTGTTGGAGAAAAGCAAGTTCTTTTGTGTGGAAAGCCCAGGAGAGTGACAGGAGATGAGGGTGAACAGGTGAGCAGGAGCCAGATCTGGAAGGATCCCGTATATCATGCAGGAGAGAGCAAGCTTCATCCAAGACGGGAAGGATTTTGAGCAGAAGAGTAACATGAATAGGTTCACATTTGAGTGAAAAAAAGACTGTGACACTTGAAGCAGTGAGATGAGTTAGCAGGCTAAGCATTTGTGCGGGCCGGAGAAGTCCTGGCCTGAAATAAAAATGAAGTTACAAGGTGACAAAAACAAGGAAGATTTCAGAGTAGAATCAGCTGGACATGGTGATTGACTACTAAGAGAGAGCAACCTAGTTTATCTAGTACAAATCAAAATGAAATATCTCAGCTGTCTAGCATTTACGACGAGCAGTCACAATGTGTTCTGCATTTCTGCCTTCCACTGCCCCCGCAAAGCCCTGGGGAGCCCTCAACAAGTCTTTGGTTGGAAGTCTTCCTCAGGGTGGCCACCTCAGGTTACTGCCCCAAAGCCTGCTCTAGAGTGATACAACTCAGAAAGGGGTTGAGACTCTTGGGAAGCATTATATAAACGAGAATCTCAACACTGTTCATCCAGCAAACATTTATTAAGTGCCTGTGATGTGCTAGATACTGTTTTGGGCACCAATGAACCAACAAACCCGCATTCTCATTCGCAGCAGCAGCAGGAAGTTAAGCCTTAATCTGCATTTACTGAGTCTACTTGTGTGTCTTCTATGTGTCACACAGGATGCAGAACCATTCAATCACTATCAAATATCTGAGTGTCTGCTCCAGAAACTGTGTTAGCCATGAGAATACTTAGTTCCTGTACTAAGGAACCCACCATCCACTGGATGATTCTGACAAGTACACAGGGAATTTCAGTTCTAAGTGGTAAATTCCCTAAGAGGACAACATCCAGGCAGAGCTAGATATAACAGAAATGGGGGTAGGGACTGTGGTTAAGGAAAATCTTGGAGAAAATTACACATAAGTTGAGGAAAGATCAGTTGGAGATAGCCAGGCAGTATCCAGCATGGAGAGGAAGTGGAATGGGATGGGGCAGGGAGAATGCTATAGCTGGAAGGATTAACATGTGCCAAGGTCTGAGGACAAGAAAGAACATGGCTCCCTGGGGGAATTCCAGGTAGTTCAGTATAGCCACAGCATAGACTTAAGAGGTAGGCGATATAGATAGAAGTGAAGATCCATCCATGAAAGGGCTTTATGGGCAATCCTGGGGAGATTGGACTTTACCCTAAGGGCAATGGGAAGGCATTAAAGGGTTTCAAACAGAGGATTGACATGATCATATTTACATTTTATTTTATTTTATTTTTTAAAAGATTTTATTTATTTATTTGAGAGAGAGAATGAGATAGAGCGAGCATGAGAGGGGGGAGGGTCAGAGGGAGAAGCAGACTCCCTGCCGAGCAGGGAGCCCGATGCAGGACTCGATCCCAGGACTCCAGGATCATAACCTGAGCCGAAGGCAGTCGCTTAACCAACTGAGCCACCCAGGCACCCGATCATATTTACATTTTAGAAGACTCATGCCTGCAAGTGTAAAGGATGAATTGGAGAGGGGAATAAGATCAGAGGCAAGGAGACCAGGTACAATGTGATTACAGAAATCCAGAATTTCTGTAACGTGAATCGGGGATGAAGCTGTGGGAATATACAGAAATAGATGTATTTGGCATTTGCAAGGCAGAAATGGCAAGACCTTGTGATTAGGGCTATTAGGAGGTCAAGGATGGCACATTCTTATTGGAATTCAGGTGAAATAAATCGAGGACAACACTGGATCATATTTTAATGCCTTGTCATTGGTGTGGTTCTTACTCAGTTGAGTTGGCCCCCTGCCTTCGCAACCCTTCCCATTCACTCTTCAGTACTCAAATGCTGATGCTGGGACTTGAGGAAGGCAGTCAATGTGTTTTTGGCTTCTATGCCCATAATGGCAGAGTGGACACCGGCTCTTCAGTGCCATTTCACCTCCTCCCTGCCCTATATGGCCTCTGGAGTATTCCTCATGTCCATAGCCCTGGGAGTGAAGGTATCTTTGTTATCTTCATCTTACATTTCCATAAGAGCAGCCCAGTCTTGAGCTCTAAGAAGAACAAACTATTGGTAAGTGCTTTATAGTTTATATATCATAATAAGCAATTATAAATATCACAGTGAATTCTAGAGTTTTGTGGAGGTCTTCTTCCCTAGAGATCCATTGATGATGTAGACCTCTGTCAATTGGTCAAAATCGAGTTCTGTTATCAGACCAGGCTCTTTGTCCCCACCAGCTACCTGAGAAGTCAGGGTCTTCTTTTTAGTTCCAGTATGCTTCAATTGCTGGTCCAGATCACCTCCTCTTTCCTGGCTTTCCATACTGTCTCTTCTGGTCTCCAACTTTTACTCTCAGATTGGAGTTTGCTGTTCAAAAGGGTGCACATAGCCCAAGTCCTGGAAATTGGAGAATGAGGAGCTTGTTCCTGGGAATGTGTCCAGCCCTACTTGGGAGAATAATGAATGGGATTGAGGCTTCCTGAAACAGAATTTTCCAGTAGTTCAGGATGGAAACAACTTGTTAACTTTCTTGAACCAGTAGAAGATTAAATTCTCTGGCCTTTTGTTGTTGACTGTCAAGGATCACTTTGTTTTTCCCAGAGAAGCTAGAGCCTGCGGTTTATGAAGTTCAGCCATTAATTGTGCCTGGTGAACTTGGAAGGGTTAATGTGGCTCTCCAAATTTATATCACATACCCAAGAACATAAAAGTCAAGACTGATGGGAGTGGGGTCTAGTGTTACAGGGAACTTTGGGGGAAAGATGAGAGGGAAGATTTGTTTTGAGAGTTTAGCGAGTTTGGGCACTACCTGCCATTGGAATAGGGTTATAACTGAACCAGTCTTGGGAATTTTGCAGCCTGCGTCCATGTTTATAAGCTTAAGTGACACTAACAGAGCCCACAGGTCTTCCAGTCCAAGAACCAACCAGACCTCCCAGGACCCACACCCTCTCCTCCAAGGCTGAGGATGATGGAAAGTCAGGCTAGCCCTCCTGAGCTCTGGGCAGACCCTGCAGAATCCACCCCATTCCCCTTGCTATGTGTCTGAGAGGCATCCACCTTGAGAATTGGGGTGTGAGATAACAGGAATTTTTCAGTCTGGGGCTGGAACAGTAATGAGTAGGATTAAAAGGGGGCTCCTCAAGGTGGCATGGTGCACTAGGTCTGTCTCCCCTGTTTTCCAGCTGCCTTCCATTCCCCCCACCACCCCCAGCTCAGAGGCCATGTTTAGCTTATGCTGAAGAGAGAACTACTCAGCTCTCGGAAAATGCTGAGCTGGGAGTTTGGGTTTTCTTGGCTAAACTAAGTACCAGATGGTGATTCAGCAGAAACTCCAGGTCTAGCAACTGGCACGGAGGGGTCAGGGGAAGAAGGAAGGGGAAGAGAGAGCCAGGAAGGGGGTGGGGCAGTGTGGGTGGGAGCTTAGCTGGAAGAATGCTTCCAGATGAAAGGGGCTGGAGGACAAAACATTACTGTAGCATGGTAGCAAGATCTGTTTCACAGATTGTGTGGCCTTACAGAAGCTGGGATCAAAGCTTAGTTTATAGGGAAGGGCTCATTTGATTTATTCTGGTGTTATTGCTCTTGCTTTGTTTTGATGTCTTTGTCTTTTATCAGTCAAGTTATTTACATGTATCATAATACAACCTTTGTTTTAGGTAGTCAATAACTTGAGACTTTATAATGCAGCTCTTCAATCCACGTGAAAAATGTCTCGCCCTGGGCACAGTGAAAGATTCTAGGACGCTGGCTGTGTCTCCACACTCATACCCCAGTTTCCCTCCAGGTCTCTCTGAGGACTCAGAAGGAAAGATAGCTCAGGCTGGCCCACGTGGGCAAACCTGGAACCGTATCAAAGCCTTGGGTTGTGTGCGTTAGAACTTAAACAGGGTTCTGTGTTTTCTTTGCCTATCAGTGCCTTTTGGCAGCCAGCACTGGTAACCTCCTAGATCTGGAAACAGCTGAGGTTAGGCAGGCCAAGCCGAAGCAGTCTTTCCACAATTAGAGACACGTGCCCTGATCCTTCCACAAGCAGGAGGGGGAGAGGCGGCCAAGGAGCCCCAGCCAGCCTATCACGGAGCCCAGTGTCGCCACACCCCCTCCTTCAGGCTGGGTGCTCACTGGGCGCTCCAGCATGGGCACCATGGACACCAGAGGGCTGGTCTGAGGGGCATCACTTTGCCCCTTTTGTTCCAGGTCTGGAGGGAGGGAGTCAGGGGGAGCTGGCAGAGCATGGCGGAAGGTGGAAGGAGGAGAAGTGCGTGCCCCAGCAAAAGGTGAGACTAAGATATTAATGCTTCTGGCAGGCAAGCCCTAACCCAGGTAAAATTTACGGCTGTTTCAGAGGGCTGGGAGCTCCATCCCAGAAAGGTGCTTATTTTGAAGTTCTGGAGAGGAACAGGGTGTTCTGATTTCTACAAAGTGGCGTCACAGCTTCCCTTTTCAGTAGTATGTCTTTTTAGCGCATTACATCTTTCTTTTTTCTGTCCTGGCCTTCTCTCTCTGTGCTGCTTCTCTTGAGGTCTTTCCCCTCACTCGTAAGGATGTGTATTATTCCTCCTCTTCCTTCCTTCCCACTGTCGTTTCTCAGGCTCACTCTTTCCCTCCCTTCTTCACTACCTGTCTTTATGGATTTTGGTAAGTCTGGGCATTTTTTTCCCCCTTTCTACTGCCTGTTTTCTCTTATCTGAAAGGACAGAGAGGCCTAGTTCTGGAAATGCTAAAGGAAAACAAACCTTTCCAAGCTGCCTCCAGCCCACTCCTGAGAAAGATACAAGCCAGTAAGACTGAAAAATCCTAAAGAAGTTCCCAGAGTTCAAGAGAACGTGTGATGGTGACATCGACAAGGGGCCAGAGAAGGGAATACAAGGCAGAGAGTCGAGTCTGCCAGTGGGAAATAATTTTCTAAAGCTCTGAGAGGAATGGACATGACTCTCTTGGTCTCTCGGGGGTAGCCATCCTAGTCTTCCCCTTTTCGCCACATTGGCATCTTACTTCCTGCTGTCCTGAAAGCAAACTGGCTAATATCTTCAGGTGACTGACTCAGGGTGGCCCTTGAGCAATGACCTTGAGTACCATTGACAGGAGCAGGGTGAGAGAGAATGTGGGAATGGACAGAGGGAAAGTGGGATAATGTGTATATGATAAAAGAAAGGCTGACATAGTGGCAGAATAAGCAACTGGGGGGTAGGAGTACATTAGCTGGGGTCTTACTCCATTCACATACAAAATGAGGTTCTGAGTCTCTCAGGTCATTCCTGGCTCTGATTGCTCATGAGGCTGGAAATGTGCTCCCGGGTAGTAGGGCACTGGCCTCAAACATCTCCCTCCAGTGCCGAGAGCTGTCTACAAGGAGAGCCCCAACTGGTTCGTTCTTCTGAGCACTGTTCTTACAACAATCAGTCCAGCCTCCTATCTAAATGGCCCCATCCTGTCTTTCACCCCATCACACCAGAATGGTGTGGTCCATGAAGCAGAAGCTGGCTTGGCAAAATGAATGAGATTAGTTTAGGGATCCATGTGGGAACGTGCTCATTGGCCCTCTGATGAAGGCACAGGATGACCCTTTGCCAGCCCAGCTCAGCAAGAGGCCAGAGTCCTGTTCCTAGAAGCAAGGGAGCACCTGAAGACACAGCCCTGGCCTGTGCTGATTGTGGACACTTAAAACCAGTCCCACAATTCCCTCTAATCCATGCTTAAAATTTTCTAAATGAAGACTTATTTTATGCTAGCGAGTCACTGATGTTCTGTTTAAAAATGGACTAGAGAGATTAAATTGTTTCTTTTACCTATAGTCTATAAGGTATTCATCTAAAGTAAAGGTTCCCAAAACATGTTCCTGTTCTTCCCTTCTAAAATCTATAGACCTTTAACCTCACCTTACCTCCTGGGGGGTTGGGTTGGGTTGACTCCACCTGGGAAAGTCCCAGAGCGAACTCTTTCAGGGTGCTTTTGGTGTTGTCCACTGCAAGATAGCACACAGTGTGGCCACTCTACCCTTTGACTTGAGGAAGGAACTCAGTCTCAGGACTTTTGAGTTCATCTCTTGACTTTCCATCTTGACTTCTTTTATGGCCTGTGATTATAGCCTCTGGTCAGTAAAATTAGGAGACCAACAAAACCATGGCGGCAGAGAAGAAAAGAATCACATCTGAGCCTCCCAGCACTAGACTCGCCTTGTGAGAAGTTTGGAACTTGGGTCTCCATTTGTATGTGCATCTGGGTTGCATGTCTGGGCCTGAAGTTGAATGGAATATAGAGGAGACGGAAAAGAGCCTGGCATTAGATGAAGGAGGAATATTGGGAGTGTCTTTTGCCCCCAAATTTTTTTGGAAGGAAAGGCACAGCTGGAGTTATTGGAGGATGAGCCTGTTTACTACTGTATAGAATTAGGAAGGGAAGAAACAGGAGGCAGTAACACTTTAGCTATAGGATCCTCGAGTTGGGATGCTGTCATATGGTGTAGAAATTTGCCAACTAGAGCACATGGGTGACCTCACTTTCACTGCCTACTTCTAGAGAGCCCCACCACTTCCCTCCACTGGTGTCCTGCAAGGCCTGTGGACAGGCACTCCTTTGGGGTCCTGGGGTGTGCCGCCTGGTTGCTCTTTAAAAATTTTGCTATTTCAGCGTGTGCCACCTGCTTTCTGGTCTTTCTGTATGGTGCCTGGCCCTGTATTAATTCCCTATTGCTACTATAACAAATTACCATAGATTTAGTGTCTTATAGTTCTGGAGGTCAGAAGTCCTAAATTCAAGGTGACAGCAAAGCTGTGTTCTTTCTGGAGGTTCTGGGGACAGTTATTTCCTTGCCTTTTCCAGCTTCTAGAGCCCCCCTACATTCTTTGGCTCATGGGCCCTTCTTCCATCTTCAAAGCCCACAGCGTGGCTTCTTCAAATTTTTCTTTCTCCCTCTCTGACCTTTGTTTCCGACATCATGTCTCTTTTTCTAACTCTGACCCTCTGTCCAGGTCAGTGACAGGATCTGCATTGTCGTCGATCTGAGGACTCTGCACCTCTCTGCCAGTCTTTCAGCTTTCCCACAGGCAGGGAGCACTGAGCCCACCTCTCCTATTCAGCAGCTGAGAGGCCCTGGGCCCTGGGCTCTGAGCAGGTCACAAGATTGCTGGCTTCTGAGTCCCCTACTCCTGCCTGCCTGTTTTTTGTATCCCTCCTGTCACCTTGACATTAAGGTGTCACCTTGTCACCTTTTCCAACTTGGCAGATTAAGTAACCAACCCCTGACTTCAGCATCTTTTTGAAGTATCGTCTTGATAGTCTTTTCACCTTTTTTTTTTTAAACCCAGCAAACAGAAAGGATACAAAAGAGAAAGAGGAGAAAATGCCCAAGAAATACAGATAAGCCCGAGATTCCATGGGGGCCTCTAGAGAAGCAGCAACCACTCCACAGCCAGATTACAGTGGACAAGAACCAGAGTCTTTTTCCTTCTTATTTCTTTTATCCAGCTGGGCCAAAATTATAAAATTCTCCTTTTGGTTAGGGTCTCCCCCTCCTATAGGACACACCTCTGAATCCCCTGGGCTAAGTTCGGGGCTCCTCATGGATACCCATTGGCTTCCGTGAAGAGCTCTGCTGTCACCACATTGTTGCATGATCATCTTTTTTTTAGCTCACCCATCTCCCTTACCTTATGCTCTCACCCATCTCCCTTACCTTGTGCTCTCAACTTCCTGAGGACAGGGACTTGTGTCTTGTAACTCCCCCACCTACCAGAGTGCTTAGCACAGTAGGCCCTTTGTAGATGATGGTTGGACAGATGGACAGATGAATGGATGGATGAACGAAAACCCTCACATTTCAAGCTGCAGTGGCCACTGGTCCCCATCTTCATGTGGCTTCCCTGAGGTCATTGTTTCTCAAGCATGCAGAATGCAGGGTCTGGCTGAGAAGAGAGAGGGGCCATAGCCATTAACAACAGAAAGGGGCTCTGGGTAGCAGACTGGCAGAGACAGGATGCCTGAACAGGGCAGGGGCTTGCCAAGCACCTGACAGTGTTGCCTTCACTCACTGACCTTTCCTCTCTGTTTGGAGGCTCAGGTTTCAGCCTGCTGTGAGGGAAGCTGTCCTGTGGTAGCAGGAGACTGAAAATGCCCTCTTTCCCCTCGGTCACATGCTGTGATCACCCAACAGCAGGGATAAGGGTCAGATGTGAGGGCCTGCAGCCATTGTTTTAAGGAGATTAGTGTCACAGGCAAAATGTCTCCCCACCCCATTCTCGGGATTTCTCTTTTTATTTCTGAAAGAGCTCTATAAAGGTAAAAGGTTAAATATTAGTCAAGGTCTGGGTTCCTGTGAAATTGTGAAGATAAGATCAGGTGGGACAGAAGACACCCACAGCAAGTTTATTTGACAAATTATCCCTTCCTTCAAATATCTCCCATCCCCCAGGAATATTCTGGAGCTGACTGAAGGAATCTGACTGCCTTGACAAGGTCCCTCTCCTAAGCAGATAGATGATTTTGTGTTTTCTATTCCAGCCCACCAGGAGGTGGCCACATTCCCCCCACCTGCTGGGGAAGAATGTCTGTGAGTTGTCCTGCTCATCCCTTATTTCCCTCCAAGTACTTTCCTGTCACCTCCCCACCGTGCCCTCTCCTCCCCTTGATAGAGGATAATTTTCTTCTCTGGGATCACAATCTGGTTCCTTGTTCAGTAATCCTTACCTATCCCTGAGCCTCATGGGTTTTGTGTCCTAATCTTCTTTTCATAAATCAATCTCCTTTATCCTTAAGTCATTGCTTGTGTCTGCCTGAACTCCTGGGACCTGAGGGCCCACCCTTGTACCTAGCAATCCTCAGGGCCCTGAGGAGAAACAGATCACAGGCCCTGTTGCTTAGAGTGATTTGGGTTGGATTGTCACCAGGCATGTGATCCTGAAATCCTTTTTGAATTGAGTAAGATAAACCAAATGTGTGTTTATCAGAATGTCTCAGTCCATCTGGAACATTCGAGTATTTACAAGATGTTCTCCCTGTTCAGGCACTTAAAATCCTTCCTCTGACAACATGTTTTGGTTCTCCTTATATGACACCATCTTGGATAACAGCTTCTCCATGAGGAGTCAAGAGTTTGAAGTCAAGTTTCCTGTCGCTCTTTTGGCTCTGTGCAACCAACTGGGGATTGTGTCTCCTTTTGATGAGATTCCTGGGGAGCAGGGGAGATTGTGTGCATTGTAGAATGTGTAGACTGAGATGAGATTGCAGGGCTAATGAATTGGGCATTTTCTGTATCCAAGTATTAAATATTTGTTGAGTACCTACTATTTGTAGGCATTAATGACGCCCTGGGATTAAAAGCATGAAAAGTCATAGTCCCTGCCCTCCTAGTCTACATGGAGACAGAGAAAAAGAAACAAATCATTATAATACAAAGAAGTAAATGCCCCAAATTAAATATAAACAAAGCGGTCTGAGAAAAGAGAAGGGACAGACTTTGTTCCTTGTCTATAAAGTGCGGCTGGTGTATCTTACCTTGCAGCCACATTGTCAGGAATAAGTAAAATAATAAAATAATAAAGACTCACAGAACAGGTGACATTTGAGCTGGATCTCGAAAGATGAGAAGGAGTTTGCCAAGTAGAGATGGTGTGAGGAGAAAGGTTACAGATAGATAATAGGATCAGGTCTTTACCCTGTCGAAATGGTCTCAGAGGGCGCCTGGGTGGCTCAGTTGGTTAAGCAACTGCCTTCGGCTCAGGTCATGATCCTGGAGTCCCGGGATCAAGTCCCGCATCGGGCTCCCTGCTCAGCAGGGAGTCTGCTTCTCCCTCTGACCCTCCCCCCTCTCATGTGCTTTCTCTCATTCTCTCTCAAATAAATAAATAAAAATCTTTAAAAAAAAAAGAAAGAAAGAAAGAAATGGTCTCAGAATCAAGTAAGGTCAGAAAATACTTGAAAAGTAAAAACACAGTTTAAAGATCAGGTATTGATATAATTTGATCAACTGTTCAAGTCAGAGGCCTGGCCAGAGCTTGAGAAGAAAGTCTGGTGCTTCTACATGTGTGACTTGTACCTTTGGAGGACCGGGGGGGCCGTCCTGGTCACTGTTTCAGAGGAAGGAGAAACAAGAGGATTTTAACTTCTTCCCTTTGTTCTCAAGGACTTCCTAAGCACCAGGAAGGTGAGAGTCCCATTCCTGCAGGACAGGCTCCCTGGGTTGCTTGGGGAGTGTGGCTGTAAAACGGAGTCCCTCCCTCCTAGGATTCAGCCTTTGAGCTCTCCCCAGTCCTTGGAGGTTCCATGTTGTTGGGATCTCTGTGGGAGCCCCTGTGCCACCAAAGAAGACAGAGGGATAGTGGCCAATAAGCACATGAAAACCTGCTCAACATCATCAGTCACGAGGGAAATGCAAATTGAAACCACGATGAGATACACTACACAGCTATTAGAATAGACAAGCTTTTGGAGCTGACAATACCAAATGCTGAAAGGATTCATAGCAACAGAACTCACCTACATTGCTGGTGGAAATGCTAACGATATAGCCACTTTGTGGGGGTTTTTTGTTGTTGTTATTTTTAAGATTATTTATTTATTTATTTGAGAGAGAGAGTGAGAGAGCTGGGGGGAGGGGGAGAGGGAGAAGCAGGCTCCCCACTGAGCAGGGAGCCCAATGTGGGACTTGATCCCAGGACCCTGGGGTCATGACCTGAGCTGAACACAGACACTTAACTAACTAAGCCACCCAGGCGTCCCTAGAGATTACTTTTAAAAATAACAAAATCTTAAAAAATAATAAAGTTATAATTTACCTTATGACTCAGAATCTCACTCCTGGGTATTTACTCAAGAGAAAGGAAAATCCTTCTCAAAGACATCTACAATCCACTTAAAGAGTTCTATGCAAGTGTTTATAGCAGCTTTATTCATAATAGCCCCAAAATGGGAGCAACCCAGATGTCCATCAGCCAGTGAGTAGAAAACCAATACATAAAATGGAGTACTACGTGACAATAAAAGGACCAGACTTGATATACACAGCAACATGAATGGATCTCCAAAGCTTCATGTAAAGTGAAAGAAACCAGACACAAAAGGCTACATACTGTATGATTCTGTTCATGTGACATTTTGGAAAAGGCAAAATATAGGGACAGAAACCAAATTAGTGGTTGCCAGAGGTAGGGGAGAGGGACTGACTTCAAAGGAGATCAAAGTGCAAGAAAGAGAACTTTTGGGAGTGTTGGAAATGTTCCATATAAAGACTGTGGAAGTGATTAACTGAATATGTTTGTCAGATCTCATCAAACTGTACACTTAGAAAAATGAATTTTACTCTATGTAAATTATACCACAGGGGGAAAAAAAAGATTCCCCCTAACCCTCTGTTGCCCCAAAATCAGGCTGAGGAAGATGACATTCAGGATCCACCAGCTGCTCAGGGCTCCCCCTGAACATACAATGGCCTGGAAACAAAGCCCATACTTGCACCCTGGTAATATGCTGATTTTCCTCAAAGCCAGTGCCTTCACTTCCATGCCTACTTCTGGCTTCCAGCCCTGGGCAGGGCATGCTCTGACCAAGCTCTAATTTGTGGCAGGTAATCCCCATTTGTAACCCATTAATCTAGCTAAAGTTTCTGGAAACTTGGGCTGGGCTTGAGGGAAATTTGGCTCGCCTGTTACAGTCCCATTGTCAGGAGCAAGAAGCATTTCTGCTTCTGTTCAGAGGGCCTCCTACAGCCTCATTATAGCCCTGAGGATATGTTTGGGGCTCTGTCATTTCAGTGCTCCTCACATGGGTCAACTGTGCCAGTGTGCGGTGGGCCACCCGGGTTCAAGACATTTTCACAGCTGGGAAGCTCCTGGCCCTGGCCCTGATCATCATCATGGGAGTTGTCCAGATCTGCAAAGGTGAGTATCACCCAAACAACAGGGCTTCACCCAACTTTCTGCCTCTTTCGTGTACACACCCCCTCACACTGTCTTTGGACATGTGCACCCTGAGATTTCCCAATTCTGACCTTGAATGACTTTTCTTCTTCACTTGCTTGACAAAGGGGAAGAGAAACCATTTTCCTGGGATGGTTGGAAGTTGAGCATGCCCCACCTGGTTTGCAGAGTTCAGGTCTCCCATGCTGACCTCCTGGCTCTAGCACAGCTAGGTGAAGCCCCCAGATCTCTGGACTCCTGTTGCCCTCTTACCCCATCCCCAGGGAAGCTCCCTGCATCTTATATTGTATGTTGTTCATATCTTAAAATGGGGAACAGAGGAGATTTTTACGCATTTCAAAATTACTCATAATCTCTACGAGAGAGCTCGACATTCCTGGGGCCCCTGCCAACATTCCTCACTGGATTTGGTCCCTTCCAAGTCTGAGTCTGTATTTGGTTTCCATGGGAACCATGGCACCACTAGGCTCTGCCCAGTGTCACTGCCTCCTGGAGAAAGTCAGATGACAAACAGAGAGACCTCCTACCTGCCTAGAAGCCCTGAAGGCCATGTGGGGTGCCTGGATATTTACTCCAGGAAACATAATTAAGGTTCTACTGTTAATTTTAACCAGTTGTGTTAAGTTCTTTAGCAGGTAATATTGTGTAGACTTAAAGAAATCACTGTGTATACCTACCTGGTAGGGGAGATACCATGATCATGAAAGTGGTTTTCCAAGGATGAGGCTTATCCATTGCACTATGGATGTGTTGACCCCTGCAATTTCCCCAAATGTGAGAAATGGGACTATATAATTTGTGGTAGTGGGGACTGTGTTCATGCTTTCCCCTAAAAAAAGGAAAGAAAGAAACCACTGTGCTATCTTTTCAGAGATAATAAGTCCCTACTATTCTGGCCCTAATGCTTTCTCCTGATCACTCTAATCTACTTATTTCCTGTCCAAATGCTGGATCACAGATGACTAAGTAAAATATGGGCAGTTACTCTGTGTTTCATTACAACGTCATCAGCAACCTTTCTTGAGGGCCCACTTGTGTGCAGGACACTGTGCTAAAGGTTGGGGAGGCAGTGGAAAAGCTCTTTGCTGAAGGACCCTGTCCTCAGGGAATCTATAGCATGAAGAGCCCAGATACGTTAGAAAGAGAGAGGAGGTTATTGACAAAGAAAGCAGAGTAAGCATGAACTACTATGGCATCATAGGAGCTTATGTTTGAGTGTTTGTTGTTGTTCATGCTTTCTTTGTGAAAATATATAAACTTAGATATACAGGAAGGTGGTCAAGAGACTGCCAATGGCTCTAATCCTGCATCTCCAAATCCCAGCTCCCCCCACCCCCCACCCCCCCACACACCCCTGATTTACTGTACCCTGCCCTGACCAGTGGCCTCCCCTGGTCTTTCCTTCCAAGTAAATTTGCCTTTAAAAGAAGATTGAGAGCTGTGCTTTGAACCTGAGCCTGCATTTGGACTCCTGGTTCCTAGGTTCTGGGGAAGTCCTAATCTCTATTTCCTGCTCCTTTTGGTCCCACTTCTCCAATGTGTGGGGTTCACTGGAAACAAGACAAGAGCTGGATCATCACTGCAGGAGGAGCTGAGACAGGACTAGGCAGGCTAGAGGCCGCCAGGCCTCTGGCTTCTTTCTCTGAGCAGCCTCCTGCCCCTTGCGTCCACAGGAGAGTATTTCTGGCTGGAACCAAAGAACGCATTTGAGAATTTCCAAGAACCTGACATCGGCCTTATCGCACTGGCTTTCCTTCAGGGCTCCTTTGCCTACGGAGGCTGGAACTTTCTTAATTACGTGACTGAGGAACTTGTTGATCCCTACAAGTGAGTTGAAATGACCCAGCTCTTCCCAAATCCCTTGAAAGGCCATGGCACCTGCTACTAAGAAGAGAGAGCCAGGTGTCCACTGGGCACTTCTCCATCTCCAGCCCCTGTTCTGACCATGACCTGGTCTATCCTGAAGAAACAGTTATTTCTCAGGAACTTAAACCATTGCCATCTACCCTGCCAGGAGGAGAAAAATCCCGTGACTGTCCCAGAGCAGATTAAAAGCTGAAACTGCTGAGATAGCACACTGCCTTAGAGGATGAAATGTACCGACAGGCCTCTAGGCATCTGACTTACCTGTCTTAGGACAGGAGGGTCTTTGTGTCTTGAAGCAGGGGAGAGCGGTGCATCATGGAGAGTCCAGTCAGGAAGAGGTCAGCAGGTATGGAGCATATTCCCAGCCTACCCTGTTTCATTTCCTTTAAATTGCCCTGCCCATTTTGAGACAGAATCCACCCCCCAGGGAGAGGGAGTGTCACAAAAGGCTGCCAGGTCAGTTTGGAGCAGAAAAACAAGGCACTTCCCAAACCCCGTGATGAGGCAGGTGCCAGGCCTTTCCTCTCTGACCTCCTCTCCTTCTACAGGAACCTTCCCAGAGCCATCTTCATCTCCATCCCACTGGTCACATTTGTGTATGTCTTTGCCAATGTCGCTTATGTCACTGCAATGTCCCCCCAGGAGCTGCTGGCTTCAAACGCAGTCGCTGTGGTAAGAAATCAAACTCACAGCCCCTCAAACCAGGAATGTTGACATAGACTTGCCAGATTGGCCCCACTCACTTTTCCCTGATCCATGAATTTGTGGAATTAGAAGTCATCCCAAGTTCTCAGGGCAGAAACCGTATCTCCAAGTGCCCAGGAGCAAACTGACGGCCATGTTGTACCTAGAACGGTGACAACGGCAGAACCAACGTGTTGCCCACAAAGCTACATTACTTACTGTATGACCCTTTACAGAAAAAGTTTTGCCAGCTCCTGATCTGGGGCACTTTAAACTCTAAATGTGATGATCGTATAAAGGAGGCAGGCTCCTCCTCAGAAAGATAAAATCTTGCACGAGACAACGCCATTCCTCTCTGCCTTCGTTTCTTCCTCTGGAAATCATGCAGCCTGACTCCTTCCCTCATCAGGGAAAAGTGTGTGCCAGTAAACAGGAGTAGGAATGGTCTGTGCTCTTTGGGGAAAGAGATGCAGATCCAAGGCACTGGGGTCTTTGATACCCAGGAAAGCCCTGGGAGCCATGCAGCCCCCTTACCTGGCTTCACCTGGGCCCTGACGCCACCCTGCCAAACTGTCATCACATGTCTCCTGTCAGAAGACTGTAAAGAAAGAGGCCCTCCAGTGTCCCAGGGCAGCCTTTTTCCATGACCACTGACCTAACCCAGCAGGACATCCATTCTAAACGACCCCTCCCCGATAATGTGCTAGAAATCGAGTGTGTACTTGGCTCAGAGAATATAGAAAAGGCTAGTCCCTTGACATTCTACATTCCTTCAGTATAGGAAGACTAGTCTATAGCTTCACCACCTTTTTTTTCTCAGCCTACATAGTGCCTTGTTCTTATCATTTTTCCCTTCTTATATTATTTCTATGAATTTAGAAATTCCACCCTATGAATTAGGAACCATTTCTATTTTACAGATAGGAAAACTGAGGCTCAAAAATTAAGGACCTTGCTCAAGGTCTCACAGGTCCAAACTGTTGGGCTTAGATTTGAACCCCAACCTGCCTGACTCATTAGTGTATAATGTAAAGTGAAGCCTGGACTCCCTCAGCTGGCTTCTGGTCCTGGCCCTCCACTTTCTGGGTTTGTGATCTTAGGCAAGCTACCTAATTGCTTTGTGCCTTAGTTTCCTCATCCATAAAACAGGAGAACAAATGTTAGCACATCATCGTCATTGTTGTTGTTCTTCTTATTATTATTATTACCACCATGCACTGTCTCCTTCAGTTAATAGCCCAAAACATTTACTAAATCCCCACTGTGTGGTGGGAAGGGAAGTGGCGGTGCGGTGCAGGAGGGCCTGGGGAACGCAACCCTACCCTCGAGGACCCTAATAAGAGAGACTCAGCAAGGGTAGAGATGGGAGGGAGCATTCTCAGCAGTGATGTACAAGTGGAGGGTTGTAACCTTGCCTCTTCTGCTCATCCCCTTGTTTTCTCTCCCAGACATTCGGAGAGAAGCTCCTAGGGGTCATGGCCTGGATCATGCCCATTTCCGTTGCCCTGTCCACATTTGGAGGAGTTAATGGGTCTCTCTTCACCTCTTCCCGGTGAGTGTCGTCCCAGTCCTTCCTGGGCCAGGGGCCATTCTGCTGCGCATATTGCTCTGTGTATATATGGGGGGCTTGTCTCCGTCAGCAGAGGTCTGTGTGGGCACCTGGGTGGTGACCTCGTAGGGGGTGATTGCTCATGAAAGGCGTTTGTGTGTCAGCTTGGGTGCAGAGGGGTGTATGCTGCTCACGTGGTTACCTGCGATGTGTGCGGCTTCACATGTAGTAGCGAGAGAAGCCCTGTCCCAACTCATTTCAGTAGGAGCAGAGGGCTGAGGAGGTCCCAGGCTGCCTGACACAGTCCTAGGTCTGGGCACCGTGATCGGCAGCAGGAGAGTGTCTCATCGGCAGCCCCAGAGCTCCTTTGCTACTTGCCTGGAAACAGGCTATGCTGGCTTGAAAGGAACCCCACTCTACAAGGGACCAGGAGGGACACAGGCCTGGGGCCTCTGGGCTGGCCTCTCATGGAAGTTCTGGGACCAGCCTGCAGGTGGGATGGATCCTTCTCCCTGCTCAACAGACAGGTGGCTGTGGGAGGCACTTTCACGGCCACTCAGGAGACTCGGGCTGAGGGTGTGAAGTGAGAGAAGTGGGGAAGAACTGAAGGAAAGCATTTGTCCAAATCCAGGCCCCCAACTTCCAAACTCTCAGAGAAGCCAGAAGCTCAAGTGGGTCCAGGAATCCCTAGCTCTTGCCTCTACACCCCCAGGAATCTGGCCCCTCCTCAGGGTCTCTTCTCGCTCTCTCCAGAATAGGCTGTTGAGGCCAGCAGACACTGGACTATTGCCATCAGTGTTTGTCAAGGGGTCTTCCCATATTTCTTAGACGGTTCCCCTGCCCCCAGGGCATAGCCCTACTTGAAAGATACAGCAAAAGCAGGGAGTCCCTGAGTTTAGCTGCTTCCAAAGCCACCCATCACATCAGGGAGGAGTTCTCATGAGATGTCAGGGGAGTGCCATGTTTTCAGGACCCAGGGCAGGAAAGAGGGAGTGTGGCTGTCCTCTGTGCCCCAGGACCCTATGAGACTGAGACTTACCCACAGCAACCTCGTGTGCGTGTTACACAGGAGCAGTGACCACCTGGAGTCCCCAGCCGAGGGCGAACAGTGGAAGAGCAGTGACCCATGAGGCTCTCTGGGATCTATTGGAACAGAGTGACTGGCTACAGTCGCTTTAGAGTGGGGTTTGTCCCTCGGGCAGGCCCAGCAGCGGTCTGCATGCATGTGGTATAGCTGTGTGTGCATGCAGGCCACGGCAGCCCTGGCGGGCGAGGCCTCTGATCCCGAGGCTCAGCTCACCCACCAGGTCTCCTCTGCTCATCCTCCCAGTTCCTTCGTTCCTTCCTCCTCCTTCCCTCCTTCTCGCCCTCTCTCTCTCACTCTTTTGTGTTTGGTGTATGGAGAGGTTGACCCTTCCTGAGAAATAGGAGTGTGTGTGGGCGTGTGTCATGCTTAATGTCATTGTCTCCTCCGTTGTCAGCTAGCCGGGCAAGGATTGTTTCTTGTGAACTTGACACTTGCAAATGCTGTTGGACCTGGACAGTTACACTTGGTCCTGGCTGCATGTGGAGGAGGGACGTGAATGCGGAGCCCTGGCTATGTGCATGAGGAGGCCCACAGAGCACGCAGGGCTCAGTTGGGTGCATGAGGCTGCACCGTAGAGGGGCCATGCTGTGTGGGTGCATGAAACTAGTGACAGTGGCCTAGGTAGTTGATGATGGCAAGTGATGGTGATGCACATGGGTACTTGGGGCCATAATGGACTCCCACACTTCTGCCAAACTGCTGCTATTAGTTCCACTCTCCCTCACACACAAATTACAAAGTAAGTGAAGGTTTTTTTTTTTTTTCAGAACACCCAGTGTGCTGATTCTGTGCCTTCCTGTCCTCATTACACCACCCCCTTCCTCCTACCCCTTAGGTGCTTCTTTCTCCTTATAAAATCCCAAAAAGAAAAAGCTGTCTAATTCATACTAATATGTAAATGACTTCCAATGGCTTATAATATTCTTTTCTCTGGGAAAAGAGAAGGGGAAGAAGGAGTCCCTTTTATATTAAAATTTCTCTTTTTAAAAATAACTTTTAAACATCAAAATCCTGGTCATGATATTATACTATAGTTCGGCAGTATGTTACCAGTAGAAATAGAGTGGATACCTAGGATCTCTCTGTATTATTTCTTCCAGCTGCATGTGAGTCTACAATTATCTCCAAGAAAAGGTTTACTTTTTAAAAAGGGTAAAAAAAATAATAATTTTTATTCCAATTAAAAATTTCTCATCTATTTTAGAAATTAAATTTTTTAATGAAGTCTAAGGAAGAAAATTAAAATTACTCATAATCCCATCACCCAGAGATAATCAGTTGGTATGTTTTTACATGACCATAATTTCTAAATTAATTAGAATCATACTGTATGGAATCACAGTTTTCTGTCTTGCTCTTACCATTTGACATTGTATTGTGAGCATGTTCTCATGTAACAAATTTTTTTCAAAACATTAGGACTGTAAAATACCCATCTTTTTTTTTTTTTAAGATTTTATTTATTTGAGAGAGAGAGAGAGAGAGTGTACAAGAGGGGGCAGCATCAGAGGAAGAAGCAGACTCCCCGCTGAGCAGGGAGCCCGATGCGGGACTCGATCCCGGGACTCCAGGATCATGACCTGAGCCGAAGGCAGTCGCTTAACCGACTGAGCCACCCAGGCGCCCCTAAAATATCCATCTTATAGATACACTATAATTTATGTTATCAATCTCTTAACTTTTGGGCATTTAGGATATTTCCAATCTTTTTTATCATCAGAATATCTTTTATATATACCTTTCACTAACTCAGTATTCATTTCCTTAGGATGGCTTCTTTGGGAATAGAAAAAGTAGCTTAAGGATATAAAGTTTTAGGTATGATACAATATAATGCATACAATACAATAAAATACACAGATTGTTCAGATTAATGAGTTTTGAGAGTTGTAGACAGCGATGGAAGCACCACCCAAAACAAGATATAGAACATTCCCACATATCCCCCAATTTATCCCGTGTCCCTTTCTGGTCCACCACTTATTCTCCATCCTCACAGTGGCAACTACCTCCTGACTAGGATATC